TTGTTCCACTGGCTCCTGGCTAGGTCAGTTCACCATCAGCCAAGGGGAGAGAATAACCAGAGCAACCTGCCAGCAGCGTCCTGTGTAGTCCCAGCACACGCAAGAACTGTAACAGCTGCCACTGGAAAACAAAGTGGCTGCATTTATCAAGAACAGTGCAGGAATTCAAAGTCCCTAACAAAGACTCTGAGAAATGTATAGCATCCAAATTTGCCGTGCAGAAGCATGTGCTATGATGACACCTTCCTTAATTAAGGTAAGGAACTTCCATTTAGCACCACAACTACAAAGCCAGAAATGTTCCCAAAGAGATTCATGCACAGGGAGAGATGTTTTTAGGCACTGCACGTTTGTCACCTGACATTGTCTGTGCTGCCATAGTTTGTGACCTATATAATGCTACAAAAGGCACCAGTTCTCTGTCCATGGCATAGCTCCACAAAAATACATGTCTAGCAGATACACATTATATATTTATTATATATTATACATTGCTTATCAGTAACACATTTACTATGTAAGTGTGTCACTGATATATTACAGTCTGAATAGACTAAAAACAGCTGGGTTTACTCCTTCACCCTTCCTGGAGAAAGTCATCTAGTGCCAGTGACCAAGTTCTCCAGATCATCATGGAGATATGGGGATTCACAGATGCAGTGCTAAAATCCTGCATTTTTTTTTCCTCAGACCTTCAGGAAGTATGATGTAATAGCTAAAAATTAAGCAGTGTTTTGGATATCACCACTTTTAAACACAGGAAACTATACTGGCTAATCAGGTAATAGCTGGCTGATGACTTTCAGAAAATTATTAAAGGTTACTTTTGATTCCTGTGAACACAGCATGTACATGTGCTGGTGTGTATCCTCATCCTCAGGGCAAAAAAAAAGGTTCTTGCTCAAAAGTCAAGTTTTTAATTTAGAGGGAAAGTTGAACTTTTAGAACAAATAAGTGTGTCTCCAGACTAGAACAAACAAACAAACAAATTTTTTATGGTCCTGTATTAAAAAGAAAAAAAATGTTTCTGATCGTAATGTCCTTAAGCTGTTATTTATTTTACACTGAAATACAGACTCCCCCCTACATATGATTCATACTTTTAGAATTATTTTTATACATTCCTCTGAACATATCTATTCCAACAAAAGATTAATGCAAAAGGTCATCTCTGTTGTTCCCATTGTGTGTTAATCTAAGTCTCTGGTATGAAATGCTGTATTTATAATCCAAAGAAAAGAACAGGGATTGTCTGATGTGCTACTGAAAGTTATCAGGTCCCAGGTTTAGACAGGGGATAATGTAATTCTTTGATAAACAGCCACTGTTTCTTCAAACCCAGCTGCCTTTGGCATATCAAATCTGTCAGAGGTGCTTACAGCAGCTCATAGGTTATTATAACACTCAACATAAATTCCCATTGAGAAATGGCAAATCACATACCTTCAATGATTTTCATATTTGGTGACAGATTACTATGCACTGTATTGTTTCCAGAATAAACTTCTATTTCCAGGAGTGATGTAAGGTTAAAGTTATGAAACGACTCCATGTTCCTAAGAAACCATGTTTTCTTAGATGTTAAATTAAAAATATTGATCCAGAAGTTCAGAAAAAGTTCATAATTGAGTTTTTTGGGGGAGCTTTAACTTAAAATATTAATTAATATTTAAGTGTGTAAAAAAAATCATAAGGATTTTCAATATTCCTGGAAGGGAATAAAACTGAATTTCAGAAGAGTTATTCAGCACATTTGAAAATCAACAAGAATCTATTTAAATGCCTCCCTAAATCCAGAAAGACCTGATTTGGAATAGTTTGATATGAAAATTGATTTATGATGCCAAATTAAAAACAAATTCATTCTCATGTTAATTAATGCATTTTATTAGATATGCAGAACTCAATAAAACCCAGAATTTATCCATCATAAAGAATTTCCCCATGAGTTGGAATCTAATATATGCATTTATAATTTAACTGTCTAGCCTTTGATATACCAGCAATGCTTGGGGTCATTATCTCCCAAGAAAGAAAGTTACAGCAGGAAAAATGTGGCAAAAATGTACTGGTACAACCCTATTGGCACAGACCAGAGGACTGAAGAATGACAGGGTCTCTCCTTCCTCACACATTCATTCTATCACAGAATCACAGAATGCTTTGGGTTGGAAGGGACCTTAAGGGTCATCTAGTTCCAGCCCTTCTGCTGTGAGGAGGGACACCTTCCACTAGATGAGGCTGCTCAGGGCCCTATCCAACCTGGCATTTGCATTGTTCTCAACTCTGCTGGGCATTAGCTACCCTACCTCAAAGGCTGTGCTTATGCACAGAAGAGTTTCAAGTGCGGAAAGGAGACTTTAGACAGAGAAAATGAACAGAGAAAATAGGAAGTAAACTGGTAGCAGCTTGCTGTATGCAGAAAGCATAAGAAAGTAGTTTTCCAGTGGGAAGTGGTTACACATGGGTAGATTTAATGGGACACATGTTCCTCAAGGACTGCTCTGGAGATAGTATGTGAGTAAAGCAAGACAAACACAGCAGGTGGACTGAAGAGGGAGGAAAAATTAAAAAAGAAAGAGAATGCAAAAAGCGGACCAAGAAAGGAACAAAACAGCACCAAAAATATAAACTATACCAAAGCACATAAATATCCTTTAGGTATAGAAACGGAAGCAGTAATGAAAAACCCAGAAGTCAATATGAAGAAAGTTTTTCTTAACCTTCTTGCATGCCTGCTTTCTAGGTTGGGGTGGTAACTACTTTGGGACAACAAATCTTCTCAGCCCACTTTTGCCAAGTATCTTATTTACAAAGGCTTAACTGGTGGGAACGACTAATTAGAATAGTGTGATCTCCAATCAAGATAAATTAATCCGACATTTCCCTAGTCTGCTGGACTCCCCAAATGTGAGCTATGGCTCCAGGAGCAGCCACCTGGGCACCATCTGTGGTTCAGCTCCCAGTGGAAGGTTCACAACTCATGCAGGCTGTGCCAGCAACTTTCACTCAGCTTAACGCTTCTGCATCTCACTTTAGCTTGAGATCTTTTAGGCAAGGTAGAAATCCAGACAACTAAATTGCCATGTAAATCTCAAAGGTTCTCCACTTCTGTCTTTCACACCTATTGCATAATGCCTGGACTGGGAATTGGCCTATGAGGCAGCAGGACGGTCACTGAGACAGCAGCTCAGAACCTGAGCTACCCTGCCAGGTTCACTTCTCAGAGGGCTGCAATATTTCAATCCCAGTGTTTGACAACATCCAGCTGGCAGGCTGACAGTGAGACACTCAGAGCACAAGCTGGAGAGTGTTTATTTTCCAGCAGGTGAACATGTGAGGAACAAAGTTCTGCTTGGTGATGATATCTTCAATCAGCTAAGTAATAGGGCACCTTAATTGATATGAGTAAGTTTTATACAATGATACTGGAAGAAAACATGAGCTCTTGCTAAATACCTTGCAATGGAGGATTTTGGAATACTTTTTTTTTGCCTGTGAAATACACAATATACAAATATTGCAAGCATTATTGTATATTGTTGGTGCTGCCTTACACCAGTTTAAGGCTGCATTTTGAACACAGTAGGTTATTTACTGTACAACAGAGCACAGCCCAGGGAACAGATGTGTGTTGGTACCTAGAAAATCAGCCATTGAGTGTCTCTCCCGTTTGTCAATGTCACACAGATCGAGTGTGCTGACAGCTGCCAAAATAATTGCCTGTTGCTGCTGTGGATACCTAACCTTTCCCTCTGTATTTGGCACTGCTGAGTCCACATCCTGAATCCTGTGTCCCTCCTCACTTCTGCACAGACATTGAGGTGCATGAGCAAGTCCAGAAAAGGGCAATGGAGCTGGTGAAGGGTCTGGAGCACAAGCCTTATGAGGAGAAGCTGAGGGAGATGAAGGGGAGAAAAGGAGTTTCAGGGGAGACCTTATCATTTTCTACAACCACCTAGAAAGAGGATGCAACCAGGTGGAGGGGTGCTCCCTTCTCCCAGGCAGCCAGCAACAGGAGAAAATGGCCTTAAGCAGTGACAGGGGAGGTTCAGATTGGACATCAGAGGCAATTTCGTGATGGAAAGGGTTTCTAAATTTCATGGTGGTGGAGTTACCACCCCTGGAAGATGTTCAGGAAATGACTGGATGTGGCACTCAGTGCCATGGTCTTGTTGACATGGTGGTGTTTGGACTCGATGGTGTCAGGGATCGTTTCCAACCTAAATGATTTTGTGACTCTGTAACTCATCATAAGCATCCCATTGTAGTCCTTAAAGTCAGTAAGAGCCTGACTTTCCGAGCAATCTCTAAGCAATTGGCTTTATTTGTGCTGAATTACCACCTAGCAGTCCACGGAGTTTTTGTGCACACGGGTGAATAAAAACAATTTAGAGGTCTTTATTTATTTATGGGTGTTTTACTTATTTACACGGCCCAACCCACGGCCCATCCACAACTCCCGGCCGCCCCTCACGGCCCCGGGAGGCGCGGCCTCGCCGGCTCCGACCAATCAGCGCGGCGGCAGCCGGGGCGCGGGGCGGGACTGGCGCGGGGGGCTGTCACTCAGGTGACGTCAGGGCGGGATGAGCGGGCAGGCGGAGGTATGGCGGCGGGGATGTGTGCGCGGGTGTGGCCCGCGGCAGCTGTCCGTCCTCTCTGAGCGGGCCTGGAGCTGGGCAAGGGGGCCGGGTGGCTGCGCTGCCGCCCCCGTCTTCCCAGGAGGAGTGGTGTATCCCGGGTTGGTGTGCGGCTGCAGCTCTGTGTGCAGGCCCCCGCGTACCCTCCAGGGGCTGTGGAGGCAGCATCTCGGCCCGGACGCTGAGCGCCTCCCTCGGCCTGTGCGGCTCCTCTGCGGAACACAAAAGTGGATAAAGCTGAGCTTCATCCCAGCCCCGGGGTGTCCTTTTCGCTCTCAGGAGCCGCTACAGCGGCACTTGTGCTGCCCCGTCCCCGCTCATTCCGCAGAACATGAGCGGGTCTTGTGTTGGGATCAGTTCCTCCAGCTGTCTGTGCTGGTGGAGGCCCTGTGGTCCCCTGGGGCTTTGGCAGAGCCTGTGCTGTCTCCTGTCCCTGGGTCAGTCCTTGCCTCTGTGCAGGCTGCTGCTTCACTCAGTGGTTACCACTCTGTGATTTCAAAATGTTTGCAAGGCTGTGTCTTAATGTCATATTCTTATGGTTCAGGCAGCTAATTAGGTCTGGAAAAGCTAGACATGGATATATAGAGAGGGTCAGAATCATTTCAGTTTATGCTTTCAAGCTTCGTTTTCTAATGCAGAACATAAGGTGTGGAGTCATAAAGTGACTTACCCATTATTGTATGGAAAATCTTTGAACCAGAGGTTCAGTTTCTCATTTAGTACTCTTAAACAGAAGAAATACAAACAGGCTTGCAATTTTGGTTTACTTCTTAATTGTCTGATTTTTCTTCATACTAATGTGTAGATGTGTAGACTGGGAACACTTTCTTTTTTTAAAAATAATATTGGGTTTTGTTTCATTTCTAGGTTAAAGTGAAAATACCTTTTGGAAACAAATACCTTGATGCTATTTTTTCTGTCCCAGAGAAGAAACCAACATATGGAGTGGTTCTTACTCATGGAGCTGGAGGAGATATGAATTTCCCTCACTTAGTGTCCTTGGCAGCCTATCTTGCATCCCATGGAGTTCTGTGCCTGCGATTTACTTGTAAAGGCCTTAATGTTGCCTACAGGACTAAGGCTTTCAAAGCAGTTGTGGTAAGGAGTGACCAAATTCTTAGACCAAAGCTTAGATCCATGGGTGTTGTCTTGCAGGTTTCTTAGATTAGAGATAAGTCAAGCAACACTGGGAAAATTAGAACCAATGTTTAGATAAATGGAACACTGTGTGTGAACAGAAACAGCAGAAGTAGTTCTTAGGTGGGCAACAGCTGGAACAGCTGCCACAAGTGTGTGGGTTTGAGTCCAGGGAGAAAGAAAAGCTTGCCAAAAAGCAAGGGTGTTTCGTGGGAAAACTTATGGCTTGAAAAAAATGGAAGAATTTCAGATGGAAACGAGCTGGGTGATCTGGGAGGGTTTGGTGAGTGGAGGGAGAAGAAAAGAGACAGCTTTGGAAGCAGTTTTGAGAGGAAGTTGGTCTGAGAATTGTGCTGCATCTTAAAGGGTTCTCAGGTGTGAGAAACAGACTTTTGGGAAAGAGTCAGGGACAGGGTCACAGCAGGATTTTGAAGCAAGAGAGATTGGAATCAGCATATGACAGCCTTAGAACCAAAGTAATCTTTGATTCCAAAATCAATTCAAAGTGTTATCTGCATGTGTTTATCTCTTTCTGCTGCTGCCCTATTAAAGATGTCCTTAGGTACCTATGTTTTGCTAAAATAAGCAGCCTTCTGTTGCAAGAATATCAGTTTAAGATTATCCCCCTGATCTGGAACATGTAGGGAGGAGTGGAATTTTTTTCCTGTTTATCTAGGGACTCTTGGTGGGGCATAGGAAGTGCTTTGCTTTGAGCATGAGGCTTTTTCATAGGGGAACAAAGTCCAGGTCTAAAGAAATTTTGTATGACGTCATTGTGATTATATGTACAATTAATTTGAAGTCAGACTTTGCTGTTTTTAATGTGGATCTCCATTATTTTTGGAAGAAGTATAATGTTGTTAGTGTGTTTATTTTAATATGCTGCTATGTAAAGGTAATTTTAAGGCGTCTGCTAAGATAGCATTTGATTAGTCGTCTCCTAAAACCTGAAAAAACGTTGCTGAATTTTATCTTTTCTGTCAGGATTAACTGATCAAGTCACAAACTTTTAATTGGAAATATATAACTTCAATAAAGGCATTTTTGCCAACTCAAAGGCTGTGCCTTTTGAGGGCCAAGAGTGTGCATGGCGTCTGTTACTATAAGTGACTTGATACATAGTAATCACTTATGTTTTGGTAACTTGATAAGGCATCTGATATTTTAGACTTACTGAGAGCTCATGTGAAATAGATTATGTTTATGTTGTTGCTGCAGAATTTTATGAAACCATTTGTGTGATAAAACCCAAGAGAGCACCTTATACGTATCTGTTCTTTGTTTAATCTACAGTGTTGAAAGACCTTCCCATTTTCTGTGTAGTAGCTACAAACAGAAGAGATCCCCAGCTTCCCAGCTGTCTTAATTCTGAATTGAAATGCTTCTCTTTCTCTTATTTCTTTAGGAATACTTAAAACTTTCTGATGATTATAAACTTTCTGGTGTTTTCCTTGCAGGTATTGTTTTTATAATCAATAATTTTCTCTCTTATACTGTCTTTTAATAATAGTAATCTGCAATTCCAAGTCTGTCCCACTTTGGTGAGAAGTGAATGAACCCTCCTTATGATACCATACATCTTACTGCAGAGGAGGAAAGAGCAATAGATTGTATTTTCCAGGTACTTAGAGAGAAAACATCCTTATCACTTAGAAATTATAGGGCATGAGTTTTATGATTATCCATGTGCACTTTATAACTGCAGGTCTTGGAGAATTCTGCTTACTGATAAATGGAAAACAGTCTTTCCAAAGCAGATTTTGATAATCTAAACTTAGCAGCAGACAAAAAACATCAGCTGTGTTATGTGAAAAGGGGAATAGATGGGTGTGATTAGGAATATCTGGATAGGGGAAATTCTATGTTTTCTCTTAAGTGAAACCAAATCTGTGCTGCTGTAAGAATCAGCCACTCCTAAGACTTAGTTACAGCGTATTGTTAGCTTATTTGCCTGCTCTTTGAGGAGATACTTTGATACTCCCTTGCTGGTACTGTCTGACTTCATGTTACTAGTTCATACATTTTTTCCCCTCCCTTCTACTTTTACTTCTAGGCTTAAGTTCAAGGTGTGCATAAACACTTGCTGGATTTGTTTTGCAAGGAAGATGAAATCTAGCACAGAATTTTGTTTTGAATTTAAGTAAATTGAGGTTGCATGAAAATAATGATAATGGATCATAGCATGGCTATCTCGAATTTCCAGGCTCTGGAGCATAGGACCAGTCCCTCTCTTCCCTTGTGCCCAGGATGGGCTGTTGTTCCTTCCAGTATTACAAGGGATTCCTATCCCTTTTCTTTCTTTTCCCCTTGTTTTTTAAACAGGGATGTAAATGTAACAACTAGACAAATATCTTAGCAAAAAATTTTGAAATTAGAATTAATGTTTTTCATGGAGTAGAACATCCCTAGCATTTTTTACCACCAAAATACACTCAGTTGGCTTGGTTTTGGGAGTTGTTTACTAAATTAGAATGTAGATGAGGTAACAGCAGATAATACTTTTTTCCTGTATTTCTATCTGGGAGAAAGGCCGTTCCATGGGCTCACGAGCTGCTGCCTCTGTGATACGTCAGCTGAGCCAGGATGATGATGATGATGGTTTCATTCAAGGACTTGTGTGTTTATCTTACCCATTGCATCGACCAAAACTGCAGTCCAAGCTCCGGGATGAGGATTTATTACTGATCAGCTGTCCAGTGCTGTTTGTCTCAGGATCAGCAGATGAGATGTGTGAAAAAGTGAGTACCCTTGTAAATCCTGCTATGGAAGGGCAGTCTGGAGGAGAAGCAGTGAGCCTCAGCGATGTCTGTATTTCACTTGATTAACAATCTTCCTTAAATAGGTGTCTTCTGAAGGAAGCCGTGGGTAGGCAACTTAATCAGACACAAGGAAGCCTGTCAGTGCTTTCTTTTGCTGCTTACAACTTAGTAGATCATGCTTCATCTTCCACTTTAGCAAGCTCATCTTTGGGCCACTAAAATACCACTGATTTAAATGGTATTAGTAGGACTGTACAAATTAAAAGTGGCCTATGGAAGGAGAGAGTTATTTGCTATTTTATTTTAATCATTTCAGGTTACAAAACCTGTGCTGTGCCTCCAATTTCACACTGGTCACATTTTCATGACAAATTCTAGCAAAGCAGTTCTACCCTGAAATCAGGCTTCTGTGGTAGAAAGTGATACTTTTGTAGAGATGAAGAGCAGGTGTGCAGAGGCAGGGAAACAGTGCTCTTCTGCCTTGTTTACTTGCAAACAGGTGGCTGTTGTTCTTGAACAGATCAGTGTGAATTTGGAGCTATGTGCAACTGGCATTTTCCATGCTTGGACAGTTTCTAAGGAGCCATAGTGCTTTTGTAAGGAGTTGTCACCAAAACACTGAAGTACTGAACCTAGCAACCAGCAGAACCTTGGTGTGCCGTCTTAATGGGGAAATCTTTAACTTTGTGAGCTTGTTCTTAGATCTGTTGCTGAGAAATTTCAACAGTGTCAAAGCCAGTCCCGAAGGAGTTACATTGCTAATCTGGCTTCAATGCTAAAATTTTATTGCCAGCACTACCCTCTGACAGTAAATGTGGGTTCCTTTGTCAGTATGGGGAGTGCCCGTACAGGGTTGTGACCTATGCAGGTTTTGAAGTTCTAATTTTCTGCTCTGCTCTGTTTGAGTGAGGGTGAAGCTTTGAGCAGATCCCAGTATTCATTTCCTGAATAGAGAATACATCCCATTTTCCCATCAAGGTGTTTTTCATGTGCGCGCAAATCCATTTGGTTTTTAGGAGCTGCCTATTTTGCATTACACAGGCAAAGCAAGAGACATCTAGGAGTTCCAGAGTTTGTAGCAGCTGATTCTCTAATATTTGCACATTTTTTTTCTCCATAGCAATTGCTAAAAGGTGTGGTGAGCAAAATGAAAGCCCCTAAAAAAATCCATTGGATTGATAAAGCAAACCATGGGATGGCAGTCAAAGGACGAACAGCAGATGACATCATGGAAGAAGTAAATGTGCAAGTTTTTTCTTGGCTTAGAGAGAATGTTCAACCTCAGCACAAATAATTTGTGGTGTTCAAGCATCTTCATTTAGTTTTTCCTAAATGTGGCAAATAAATGGTTTGTTATTTTTAGAGGCATATTTTTTTAAAAACCAATCTTTTCAGAGGTCTGACTGCAAATGAAAATAAAGCTTTGTATGAATGGAAAAAATATGCAAAACAATAAAGAACTTCTTGAAGGACAGAAAATATATCATGGCAGCATTGTTCTCTGTGTTTCTATGCAAATAACCATATACAGCTTGGGAATGCAGAGGACTAAGTAATACTGTGGACTAATATTTAAAGTAATATACTGGAAAAAATCTACTTGGACAGCTTATCTTTAGGGGTGTTCAACTTCTGAGTACATTACTGATGCTGTACTCACTTGCAATTAAAACCTACTGATTTGTGGGGTTTTGCTAAAACACCCCCTGAGGCTGGTGAGCCTGGTGTACTCCTTTGCCTTTGGTGCTGTGTCCTGGCCTTCCCAGGTGCTTCCAATGCAGTTAGGCAGGGAGAGGAATCTCTGGTTGTTGAGAGTGTCTCCCACCTTAGAGAGCCAGATTCTGCCTGTGTGAGGAGGAGGAAGAGGTAATGCAGGCACAGCTTGGCATGTGGAGCAAAGAACATGGTTTTGTTCCATTTTGAGAAGTCCCCTTCACCAATGTCCTTTGTGTAAACGACTGATCACAGGGGCCCTCTGATAAATAAAAACTGTTAGACAAATTGTGTTTAGTGATGGAGGAACTCCTGGAGCAGGAATCAGTTCTGCATCCATTGTGACATGTCACACAAGGCTTCTATCCAGAGGGGTCTAAAGAGGCAGGCCAGGGTCTGCACCACATATCTCATTAACAGGAGGCACTCAGGTCCCTTTCTGAGCCCTGACACTGCAGAGTAGATGAAACACTTTGTGTGTACTGACAGCCTTTCTCATTATGAAAATAATGAGGGCTGTGAGTAACCTGTTAGTATAACCAAGCTTACAGCAATATTGGAATTGAAGTTTTCCATCAGGTTAACAGGATTTATTATGAACCCCACAGCATTGTCTTTGAGATTTTCTAAGAAAGGGCAAAGTTATGGTATGAAAAAAGATACCTTTGGATGGAGAGATAGACAGACAGTAGTGGGGAAGATGTACAATTCTCGTCTGCCCTTTTTTTGCAGAACAGTTTCATGTTTGTGAAAAGACTCACTATAAACAAGCATGAGTAAAAAGTATCTGCATTTCCAAGGCAACTTAGGACAGGAACACATGACTGATACAAACATAGTTTTTATTTTAAAAAAGAAATTATAAAAATGTGTTTGAATAAGGCTCTGCCACCACTGCATGATAAAAAGGAAATCGGGGGTGCTTTGTTTTCTTCCATATGTCAATCATGAAATGGTAAACTTTAAAATACCCACTGACATTATCCAAAGGCGTAGTAAGCCAGATTTTTCTTCTTTCTTTAAGAAGACAGTCTGAATGTAGATAAATACCAAAAATATTATTTACTTCTGTCAGAGTTCATCTTTGGCCTGCAGTCAAAAAAGAAGAAACATGTTTCAGTTAACTGGAAGCCTAATTTTTCACTGTCTAGTCCTGCAAATACATCAAGAAGTGTTTCTAAGTTCGATAGGTGTTAATGGCCTGGCCTGATAACTGATACTGTGAGGTACTGAGCAGCCCTGCTCCAGCAGGGCTGAGCAGGAACTGAAGACACTCAGCACTTTACATTTAACTCTGCATGTACCGTACCTTTTTTCGGTGGCAAGTGCATGGGAAAAGGTCATCATCAGGCTGTGGCACCTTCTCCATTCCATCTCTGATTTTTGGTTCACTCACTTGCAAGCTGGCATATTCCTGGTTTTAAAAAAAGGAAGGTATTGTTAATCCATCATTTTTTTAGACTGTACATCTGGTTACCAATACTGTACCAAATCAGCTGAGCAATTCTGTAAAACCTCTGGAGCTACACAGTCTGTTCCTGCAGACTCTGTCACAGACAGGGTGAGGGAACACTCAGCTGCAAACAGGAGTCCCTTCGGGTGCCTCCATGGAGTTTGGTATCTCGGTGCTAATGCACAGATATTTTCAGCTGTGGTTCACAGGGTGTGTGTCTGATGTGGAATTCTTTGATCATTGTGGGCAACATATTCTGGCAGATTAGATCAAGATTTATGGGATCCCACTGCCTCTCAAAGAGCCAGTGTAGTCTTAAGTGGTTTCATAGGATATAATTGAATACAATGTTTGTAAACCAAATGAAGATTTTAATTGCTGCTGCTTGCTTTGTGGTTTCAAATACCAGACTGGCCAGTTTCCAGCAGCTCTGTTGCCCTAAATTCTTGCTGTGTGATTTCTATTTCTGTGCCAGTAGCCATTAAAAATATACTGACCTGGAAAAGTTTGAAATAGTAACAAAAAATGTGGTCTCCCATGAGATTGTTTCTTGCAAATTCTTGTCCAGACTTTGCAATATTTTTTGCCTGTCAAAGAAAATGAAAGTTGGGTTTATTTTTTTTTATTGTCCAGAACTAGTATTTATTTCAGGGTGCTACTGTTGGTTGTGGAGCTACAAATTATGTTGACAGTTTAGGACAACTCAAATAAAACATTCTTTTTAAAAGTTAAGGCATTCTTAGGAAAATGCTCTTTTCTTTTTTCTTTCCTGAAGTTCAATTTGATTTCAAATTAAGGACAATATTATGCATTTTTAAGTGTTTTTCTTGTTTGTAGAGTTGGTAAAAATAAATTTCAAGTCCTCCTAGTATTTTTTTTGGCCTTGTTTTAAAGAAATACAATTTTTGTTCTCTTCTCTCTTCTGCATACTTCTAAATGAATATTTTACCTCTTCATCATGATCTTTTGCCCACTGTAGTTTTTCTAGCAGATCACTCAGGTCACTTTTAAATGGGATGTAATGTTTCCATGGCTGCAGCTCGTTATAAAAGTGCTCATAGTAGATGGAGTCTTGCTTTAGCACCACACTGTTTCCTGCTAGTAGATAAGGCAATCTGTATGCTGCCACTGTGCCATCAATATTAATTTGATATTTATACTGGAAAGAAAAGGATCAGAAATTACTAAAAACCACAAGATCCTAGTGGCTTGGTTAGGTTATATTCTGAGGGCACTGGTGTTACTGACTTGCCAATATTGAGACAGGTAGGACTGGCTAGGCAAGCATCAATGTCTAAGAAGCTTTTATTATCTAGTTTGGAATTCATCACAGTGCAGAGTACACAGAGCTTCATCAATTAAGTTCTCCAGGAATTCTTAGGTGCTCATCCTCAGATGTGAGGGTAGATGTGCCACTTCATCCACTGATTCTCCCACTATGTTAGTTATGTTAGTAGTCCTGACCGCTGAATCAGGAAAAAGAAATAAAAAGGAACTTGAAGTTACATAGATTACACAAGGTTCTACAGAACCTTTAGAGGTAAATCAAACATTACTATCCTGAGGGTAAGAGCTACATAGCAGTTAATCCCACTGGAGGGATGTCTAGTCATGCTTGTTACTGGTGGTGTCCTAAAAAACTAAAAATCTCTTTATTTTCAGTAATACATGCTAAGTTATTTGATAATGGGAAACAGTGAGAACTGAGTTCTATGAAAAATGATTAGTGGCTCACCTTAAAAAAATCAAAAAATGAAATGTGCTTAACAATAGGGCCATAGAGGCTTTCATCATGTTTAAAGAAAAAAAAGTTTGTGAAAGCAGCATCTATGATCTCTGGATATTTCCTGCTGAGTTTTACAAGCTCAAGCCTCTCTTTGCGGCTGTCACGTCCTCTCCAGAAGGCTGTGGTATTCTTGTCTTCCCACGATGGGCCGGTGTTTGCTTGGACTGACATCATATCCAGGCTGACTCTGCAGGAGGAAGAAGTGATTTAATAGTGAAGCCTACTGGAAACTTTTTAAAGTGCAGTTACTTAAAAGAGTTCATAGTACCTATAGGCAGAGAGCAAAGATGAAGGCAAGTCATGAGCACACCAAGATGTCTGTTACTGTATCAGTTATTTGCAGCAATAGAAACAGATAATGAATGTTAAGTTCACAGGCGTGTGGCATGAGAGCATCATTCAACAACCTGGCATGTGGAAACAATACCTGTCAGCTGTCATGGAAAAAAATAGGTAAAAGTGGATATGGTTGCCAGAGGAGGTGATGCAAGGTAGTATAACTTGTTAAATAAAACATATTGCACATCCTTAAAAATGTTAAGAAATTAAACACACAAACTGGGAAGGCAAGGGATAGTAAATTTAGAAAAAGTCTTGACAAAAAAAAGGAACCTGAACTAAATGCAGTGAAACAATAGACAAGTTCAAGATGGATTACAAAGATTTCTTGGAAGCAAGCTGTCTTTGTAGTGTTTCAAGACAGAACAGAGCAGTTGCCAAGGCTAGTTATAGTCAGTAATCAAAGTAGGAGATGGTAGCTCCTAGTTCGAGAATTCCCGTTAACTATGTTGGGATTTGAAAGGTACACAAAAAACAGGTTCTAACAAAACCAGGAAAGAAAGACACGTGGCCAGTTGTCAACAAGTTCATGGGGGGACAAAAAAAGTAAACAATCAAATGCCTAGACTTGAAACACTCTTAAGTACTATTTTCAGTGATTTGACCATGTTTAGATAAATTTAGATTTTTGAAATGAAACACTGAAGTGTAATGTTAATATATTGATTACACAGTCACTACCTACCTAGGGTGTCAGTGTCTCAATGAGTAAACGAAAACAGTGACTATACTGTTAATACACAGATCTCTATGGAAGATGATTCATCATGAATTTTGTAAGAAGTTTAAGCCATTTCTTACCGTCCCATAGTCTCCAAAACTGAGTCTGTTAAGTCATATGTCGGCATAACAATGTCTTTTGACTCACTGGACCCACACCACGAGAAGATCGGGTGCAAGTTCTGTGGGGGCTTTCTTTTCTCCAGAGGCCAGTCCCCCAAATTAACAAAAAATTCTACATCTGGCATTTTCACCTAAACAGAACAAAGTAGGCACAAATGCAGTTTAACACAAAACAGTATTCTGCTGGCACCTTGGATTTTGAAAACAACCTCACTAGGAGGAAAAATAGCCAGTTGTCTAATATAGTTATTGTACCTGTAATAAATAATTGACATTTATAAACCTGCTAGAGGTACTGA